ACATGTACACTGATCATCAGGGCACTGATGATCAGTGTAGCCCCAGCAGTGACTCGTGCCAGTGCCCATCAGTGCCACATCAATGAGACATATCAGTGCCTACCAGTGCACATCAATGCCACATATCAGTGCCCATCTGAGCTGCCTTTCAGTGTCACCGATCAGTGCCAGTCAGTGCCACCTATCAATGCCAATCAGTGCCACCTATCAGTGCTGCCAATCAGTGCCACCTGTCAGTGCCGCCTATCAGTGCCGTGTATCAGTGTTGCCTTTCAGTGCCCATCAGTGATGCCTGTCAATGCCCATCAGTGCCACCTACCAGTGCCTCCTCACCAGTGACACCTATCAGTGTCCATCAGTGCAGCCTATCAGTGCCCATCAGTGCCACCTATCAGTGTCCATCAGTGCAGCCTATCAGTGTCCATCACTGCAGCCTCATTAGCGCACATCAGTGAAGGAGAAAAATCACTTATTTGCAAAATGTTATAACAAAAACTAAGAAAAAACATTTTTTTTTCCAAAATTTTCTGTGGTTTTTGGTTTGTTTAGGAAAAAATAAAAAACCCTGAGGTGATTAAATACCACCAAAATAAAGCTCTATCTGTCACAAAAAAATGATAAAAACTTCATATGGGTACAGTGTTGCATGACCGCGCAATTGTCATTCAAAGTGTGACAGCGCTGAAAGCTGGAAATTGGCCTGGGAAGGAAGGGGGTAGAAGTGCCCTGTAGGCAGGAAGGGGGTAGAAGTGCCCGGTAGGCAGGAAGGGGGTAGAAGTGTCTGGTAGGCAGGAAGGGGGTAGAAGTGCCCTGTAGGCAGGAAGGGGGTAGAAGTGCCCTGTAGGCAGGAAGGGGGTAGAAGTGCTCGGTAGGCAGGAAGGAGGTAGAAGTGCCCTGTAGGCAGGAAGGGGGTAGAAGTGCCCGGTAGACAGGAAGGGGGTAGAAGTGTCCGATAGGCAGGAAGGGGGTAGAAGTGCTCGGTAGGCAGGAAGGGGGTAGAAGTGCCCGGTAGGCAGGAAGGGGGTAGAAGTGCTCGGTAGGCAGGAAGGGGGTAGAAGTGCTCGGTAGGCAGGAAGGGGGTAGATGTGCCCGGTGGGCAGGAAGCGGGTAGAAGTACCCTGTAGGCAGGAAGGGGGTAGAAGTGCCCGGTGGGCAGGAAGGGGGTAGAAGTGCCCTGTAGGCAGGAAGGGGGTAGAAGTGCCCGGTGGGCAGGAAGGGGGTAGAAGTGCCCGGTAGGCAGGAAGGGGGTAGAAGTGCCCTGTAGGCAGGAAGGTGGTAGAAGTGCCCGGTGGGCAGGAAGGGGGTAGAAGTACCCGGTGGGCAGGAAGGGGGTAGAAGTGCCCGGTGGGCAGGAAGGGAGTAGAAGTGCTCGGTAGATAGGAAGGGGGTAGAAGTGTCCGGTGGGCAGGAAGGGGGTAGAAGTGTCCTGTAGGCAGGAAGGGGGTAGAAGTGCCCTGTAGGCAGGAAGGGGGGTAGAAGTGCCCCATAGGCAGGAAGGGGGTAGAAGTGTCCCGTAGGCAGGAAGGGGGTAGAAGTGTCCCGTAGGCAGGAAGGGGGTAGAAGTGCCCGGTAGGCAGGAAGGAGGTAGAAGTGCTCGGTAGGCAGGAAGGGGGTAGAAGTGCTCGGTAGGCAGGAAGGGGTAGAAGTGCCCTGTAGGCAGGAAGGGTAGAAGTGCCCGGTAAGGGAGGGGTTAAATAAAAGAGTTTTTTGGCATGGTCAGGCATATCAGTGCCAAACTTTCACCATTTCTGACAGGTAATGCAAACTTTTGGGCACAACTCTATAGAATGTTGCCCGACGCCTGTGGACCCCAGTGAACGATGGAGATCAGGTGATTCCAGGGAAGGGTACGGTTATTATATCATACACAGACATTGTAGACAATTGTGCTCCTCCAACCTTGCGGTAACAGTTTGGTGAGGACCCTTTTGTGTTCCACCATGGCTGTGCTCCTCCATACAAAGCCAGCTCCATAAAGACATGGTTTGGCCAGTTTGGTGTGGGGGAACTCAAGTGTCCTGCTCAGAGTCCTGACTTCAACCCTACTGAACGACTTTGGGAGGAACTGAAACATCAGTTGTGAGCCTGTTCTTCTCAGAAGTCTTCCCAGAAGAGTTAAGGATTTCATCAGGAGCGTCCCTAGGGTTGGTGTCACCCGGTGCGGTAACACTTGGTGTCACCCCTCCGATGATCCCCCCCGCAGGATGGATCGGATCTGCGGATTGAGCATAATGGATCGGAGTCCAATCCATTATCCTCCCCAATCTGCAGATCCGATCCATCCTGCGGGGATTGTCGGCTTGCAACCTATATGGGATTAACTGATCTTTCAACACACCGGTCCGGTCTGCACATGCTGGAGACGTGATGTCAGATGGAGGAGGTTCCTGCTATCGCGGACGCATTTCCTGGTTACAGACAAGTCCCGGATCTTGCGCAGCCTTACCTAGATCAGTTAACATCAGATGTGCGCAATCTGCAGATCCGATCCGTCTTGCGGGGATCATCGGCTTGCTTTAAAACTTTCCTTTTCATGGAGCTCATGGAGAGGGTCCGGTGTCACTCCGTGCGATAGGTGTCACCCTGTGAGGCGCACATGGCCATCTTATTGCATGGGCACTGCTCTGGGGCCCCAGGTGCATTTGGACCCCATGATAGTCTTGCATTACATCATACTTGCCAACTGTCCCGGATTTGCTGGGAGGGACAGTCATGCTTTTTACTAAGCTGTTCCAAAACCTGCACTGTCCTCCTAATTGCAGATTTGTGCCCTCCTCATCCCCCCTGTATTATGACCTGCTATGCCCCCTGTACTATGCCCTTCTGCCTCCCCCCATACTATGCCCTTCTGCCTCCCCCCGTACTGTGCCCTTCTGCCTCCCCCCGTAGTGTACCCTTCTGCCTCCCCCCCGTACTGTGCCCTTCTGCCTCCCCCCGTACTGTGCCCTTCTGCCTCCCCCCGTACTGTGCCCTTCTGCCTCCCCCCATACTGTGCCCCTCTGCCTCCCCCCATACTGTGCCCCTCTGCCTCCCCCCGCACTGTGCCCTTCTGCCTCCCCCCGTACTGTGCCCTTCTGCCTCCCCCCATACTGTGCCCCTCTGCCTCCCCCCGCACTGTGCCCTTCTGCCTCCTCCCATACTGCACCCTTCTGCCTCCCCCCGTACTGTGCCCTTCTGCCTCCCCCCGTACTGTGCCCTTCTGCCTCCCCCCGTAGTGTACCCTTCTGCCTCCCCCCGTACTGTGCCCTTCTGCCTCCCCCCGTACTGTGCCCCTCTGCCTCCCCCCACACTGCGCCCTTCTGCATCCTCCCGCACTGCGCTCTTCTGCCTCCCCCCGTACTATGCCCTTCTGCCTCCCCCCATACTGTGCACCTCTGCCTCCCCCCGTACTGTGCCCCTCTGCCTCCCCCCGCACTGCGCCCTTCTGCCTCCTCCCGCACTGCGCCCTTCTGCCTCCCCCCGTAGTGTACCCTTCTGCCTCCCCCCGTACTGTGCCCTTCTGCCTCCCCCCGTACTGTGCCCCTCTGCCTCCCCCCACACTGTGCCCTTCTGCCTCCCCCCGCACTGTGCCCTTCTGCCTCCCCCCGCACTGTGCCCTTCTGCCTCCCCCCCCGTACTGTGCCCTTCTGCCTCCCCCCGCACTGTGCCCTTCTGCCTCCCCCCGCACTGTGCCCTTCTGCCTCCCCCCCCCCGTACTGTGCCCTTCTGCCTCCCCCCGCACTGTGCCCTTCTGCCTCCCCCCCGTACTGTGCCCTTCTGCCTCCCCCCGCACTGTGCCCTTCTGCCTCCCCCCGTACTGTACCCTTTGTGTAGCCTATTCTTTCTTTCATGCTTTTTTTTCCTATTGATTTTATTGAAAGTACTATTAAATATATATAAAAAATATTACCAAACAAATTGGAACGCCTGCCTTAATATCGCACATTTACACAAACTTTAATGGCCCCCAGTCTTAGTCCGTAGGGTTCAATATTGAGTTGGCTCCGCCCTTTTCATGCACATGACCTGTGATGGCCTCCCAGTCTTAGACTGTAGGGTTCAATATTGAGTTGGCCCCGCCCTTTCCACGCACATGATCTGTAATGGCCTCCCAGTCTTAGTCCGTAGGGTTCAATATTGAGTTGGCTCCGCCCTTTTCATGCACATGACCTGTAATGGCCCCCCAGTCTTAGACTGTAGGGTTCAATATTGAGTTGGCCCCGCCCTTTCCACGCACATGACCTGTAATGGCCTCCCAGTCTTAGTCCGTAGGGTTCAATATTGAGTTGGCCCCGCCTTCGCAGCTATAACAGCTTCAACTCTTCTGGGAAGGCCGTCCACAAGGTTTAGGAGGGTGTCTATGGGAAGGTTGGAAGGTTGTCCAAAATGTCGCCTTAAGAGTTTCCTTCACTGGAACTAGGGGGCCAAGCCCAACCCTTGAAAAACAACAACCCACCATAATCCCCCCTCCACCAAACTTTACACTTGGCTCAATGCAGTCAGGCAAGTACCGTTCTCCTGGCCACCGCCAAACCCAGACACGATCATCAGAATGCCAGACAGAGAAGCGTGATTGGTCACTCTCCAGAGAAACACGTCTCCTCTGCTCTAGAGTCCAGTGGCGGCGTGCTTTACACCACGGCATCCGATGCTTTATATAGAACTTGGTGATGGAAGGCTTGGATGCAGCTGCTCGGCCATGGAAACCCATTCCATGAAGCTCTCTACGCACTGTTGTTGGGCTCATCTGAAGGCCACACCAAGTTTGGAGGTCTTTAGCTATTGACTCTGCAGACAGTTGGCGACTTCTGCGCACTGTGCGCTTCAGCATGCGCTGACCCCCGCTCTGTCATGTGACGTGGCATACCACTTGGTGGCTGAGTGGCTGTTGTTCCCAGTTGCTTCCACTTTGTTATAATCCCACTAACAGTTGAGCGTGGAATATTTAGTAGCAAGGAAATGTCACGGATGGACTTATTGCACAGGTGACCACCTATCACGGGACCACGCTTGGAGTCACTGAGCTCCTGAGAGCGACCCATTCTTTCACCAATGTTTGTAGGAGCCGTCTGCATGCCTAGGGGATGGATTGTATACACCTGTGTCCATGGAGGGGATTGGAACACCTGAATCACATGATTTGGAGGGGATTGGAACACCCAAATCACATGATTTGGAGGGGATTGGAACACCTGAATCACATGATATGGAGGGGATTGGAACACCTGAATCACATGATTTGGAGGGGGTGGGAACAGGGGCGGACTGACAATGTATGGGGCCCCCGGGCAATAGGGGATCATGGGGCCCTTGTGTCCTTGCCCACACTCAAACCACACCCAAAAAAGCCTATGAAAGGTACCAGGGGCATCTCATGGGGCCCCCTACTGACCCAGGGCCCTCGGGCAGTGCCCGAGTTCCCAAATGGTCAGTCTGCCCCTGGGCGGGGACAATACTTAGGGCAATATAGTGTATGTTTAATTCCATCAGCTATTTATACAGTCAGGTCCATAAATGTTGGGACATCGACACAATTCTAAAATTTTTGGGCTCTATACACCACCACAATGGATTTGAAATGAAATGAACAAGATGTGCTTTAACTGCAGACTGTCAGCTTTAATTTGAGGGTATTTACATCCAAATCAGGTGAACGGTGTAGGAATTACAACAGTTTGCATATGTGCCTCCCACGTCTTAAGGGACCAAAAGTAATGGGACAATTGGCTTCTCAGCCGTTCCATGGCCAGGTGTGTGTTATTCCCTCATTATCCCAATTACAATGAGCAGATTAAAGGTCCAGAGTTCATTTCAAGTGTGCTGTTTGCATTTGGAATCTGTTTGCTGTCAACTCTCAAGATGAGATCCAAAGAGCTGTCACTATCAGTGAAGCAAGCCATCATTAGGCTGAAAAAACAAAACAAACCCATCAGAGAGATAGCAAAAACATTAGGCGTGGCCAAAACAACTGTTTGGAACATTCTTAAAAAGAAGGAACGCACCGGTGAGCTCAGCAACACCAAAAGCCCCGGAAGACGACGGAAAACAACTGAGGTGGATGACTGAAGTATTCTTTCCCTGGTGAAGAAAACACCCTTCACAACAGTTGGCCAGATCAGGAACACTCTCCAGGAGGTAGGTGTATGTGTGTCAAAGTCACCAATCAAGAGAAGACTTCACCAGAGTGAATACAGAGGGTTCACCACAAGATGGAAACCATTGGTGAGCCTCAAAAACAGGAAGGCCAGATTAGAGTTTGCCAAACAACATCTAAAAAATCCTTCACAGTTCTGGAACAACATCCTACGGACAGATGAGACCGACATCAACTTGTACCAGAGTGATGGGAAGAGAAGAGTATGGAGAAGGAACTGCTCATGATCCTAAGCATACCACCTCATCAGTGATCATGGTGGTGGTAGTGTCATGGCGTGGGCATGTATGGCTGCAAATGGAACTGGTTCTCTTGTATTTATTGATGATGTGACTGCTGACAGAAGCAGCCGGATGAATTCTGAAGTGTTTCGGGAATATTATCTGCTCATATTCAGCCAAATGCTTCACAACTCATTGGACGCTTCACAGTGCAGATGGACAATGACCCAAAGCAGACTGCAAAAGCAACCAAAAGAGTTTTTTAAGGGAAAGAAGTGGAATGTTCTGCAATGGCCAAGTCCATCACCTGACCTGAATCCGATTGAGCATTTCACTTGCTGAAGACAAAAACTGAAGGGAAAATGCCCCAAGAACAAGCAGGAACTGAAGACAGTTGCAGTAGAGGCCTGGCAGAGCATCACCAGGGATGAAACCCAGCGTCTGGTGATGTCTATGCGTTCCACACTTCAGGCTGTAATTGACTGCAAAGGATTTGCAACCAAGTATTAAAAAGTGAAAGTTTGATTTATGATTATTATTCTGTCCCATTACTTTTGGTCCCCTAAGAAGTGGGAGGCACATATGCAAACTGTTGTAATTCCTACACCGTTCACCTGATTTGGATGTAAATACCCTCAAATTAAAGCTGACAGTCTGCAGTTAAAGCACATCTTGTTCATTTCATTTCAAATCCATTGTGGTGGTGTATAGAGCCAAAAATGTTAGAATTGTGTCCATGTCCCAATATTTATGGACCTGACTGTACATGAATTCTAGAGAGTAGGTGCCTACATTGGGGAGAGGCTGGTAGAGGCCCCAGTGCATTACTTTTCCCAGGGGCCCATGATGTTATTAGGACGGTCCTGTGGGCAAGTGCTGATTGGCTAGTGACAATGGTGATAGCCACACCTCCAGCAACATCTTCTTATCCCAGTGTAGCGCAGGCAGGCACAGCCCACATGGTGGACAGTGCTGCTCTGAACTCTGGAGCAGTGTAGCATTGTTGCCCCTGTCCAAAACCGACACCCACCCCAATGTAATACCGGGAGCAGCCATTGCGCCCCAATTTACAGGAATGGGAATGTCTGAACGGGGATGCACGGAACACCTTGTGTACCCCATTCCGACAGCCTGTAGCAGGTCCCCAATAGCAACATAAACGTCTTAATTTTTGAGATCTTTAAATATATAAAACTATTTTTTTCAGATTTTAATATAAAATAGTTGCATGCGGATAGGAGGACAGAGCAGAGTGACGGGGAGATACGTTTATCAGTTTTACTGTTCAGTCACGGGGTAGGGGAGAGGGACAAGACCTGAAAGTGAAAGTGAAACTGTGTCAGGGAAAAAAAAGAAATCAGGTCTCCTCCCCTGCCAGAGAGGGTTGTGCTGTGTGGCATAGCTGTGTTAATTCCAGGACTGGATGGACGGTCATACAACTCCTCATATATGTATTTTCTCTGTGTTTTTAGTTATTCGCCTGGAATTCAAGATTAATATCACTGCAATATTTCACTGAGATCAGATACCAGACATCCCCTCGGGGGGGGGGGAGCATTTGGCTGAGAAGGGCTCCTCAGGTTCAAATAAAGCTTTAATCTGTCTGGGGGCATGGCCTGGGCTGTGATTGGTGTTTGGGGTCTATAAAATGCCTATTGGAGGGATCTGTGTGGAAGAAGTAAATGGATTGGGTGATCCCACGCATGCTAAAGCTTAATCTGCTTATATTTGCATCACTGGGTCTCTGTGCTTCTCTATGCAATGCAGGCATCAGTAGCTTGAATGCCATAGATAACTTTAGCATGCCTTGAGTGTCTTTTAGCAGAGCTTAAAGCCGCTTTAATTATGCCCCCCCCCCTGCATTGATGTGCCAATACAGTTTTTAAATAAAATATTTCCATTTCTATCCTTTACCTTTTTTTTCAGACCCGGTGGTGTTATCACTGGGTCTCTGTGCTTCTCTATATAATTATTTTCTATTCGATCCCATTCTTTTCTGTTTTATTCCTTTATTTTCTGTCCTATTCTTTTCTATTCAATTCTTTTTTTTCTATTCTATTCCTTTATTTTCTATTCTTTTCTATTGTATTGGATTATATTCTTTTCTGTTCTTTTCCTATATTTTCTATTGGATTCCATTGTTTTCTATTCTTTTCTTTTATATTCAGTTCCATTCTTTTCCTGCTATTCCTTTATTTTCTGTCCTATTCAATTCTATTCTTTTCTATTGTATTCCATTATATTATTTTCTGTTCTTTTCCTATATTTTCTATTCAATTCTATATTTTTCTATTCTATTCCTTTATTTTCTATTCTATTTCTTTATTTGCTGTTCTATTCTGATCTATTTGATTCCATTCTTTTTTGTTCTATTCCTTTATTTTCTTTTTGATTTTATTCTGTTCTATTCTCTTCTATTCTAATCCTTTATATTCTATTCTAATTTACTTTATTATTTTATATTCTATTCTGTTTTATTCTATTCCATTCTTTTTAAAATTCGAATTTCAGGAGGCGGCTGTGTTCTAACACTCACACAGTCTGTGAAATCGTCAGCAATACGTTTAGATTTCAAATTTGTTTTCATTTTCAAATTCGATTCATTTCAAGTGCTGTTTGAATTAATTTAGTGTTTTGGCTGAAAATTTGTTTCATTATTTGGGATCCATTTACAATCATTACTACTGAAATTGGGAAATTCGGCTACATTTGAATCTCCCAATAAAGCAAAATTTCATCCGAATTTCGCGTCGGATCGAGCCGCACATATGTAGGTCTGAGTGATGGCCGTAAAGCAGTAGTAGGCGTTGTTCACCCCGGCAGCTGCGGGAGGCATGGGGCGCTTTCTGTGCGTTCCGGCGGATTGGCTGGATGGCCATTCATTTTAAAGGGCTGCTGTATGCGCAAGAAATGAGGAGAAGCCCCCGATACGCACCGGCATCATGTCATGTGATTTGGCGAGCGCAAAAACGTACGCATTTGAAGACGCACGGGGGTGACATTGACCACTTCCGTACTGCGCAATAGCCGAAAGACAGGTGCAGAGCGGTCGTCCAGTTCTGGGAGGTCGTCATATGATGTCCTCGCAAATCACGCCCCCAGTGGCATGCATCCGGCGCTGTCTGTGTTCGATTTGTCCGTTGGACACAGCTGATCACATGACATGGTAAAAGGCCAATCACAGCTGACCACCATATAAGTACACTTTCCGGTTATCGGCAGTACTTTCCTCACACTGTCACATAGTTTGACATAACTGTCAAAAGTGCCCATCAGTGCCCAAGAGTGCTGCCCATCAGTTCCCAACAGTGCTGCCCATTATTTCCCAACAGTGCCGCCTATCAGTGGCACCAGTCCGTGCCGTCAGTCAGTGCCTCCATTCAGTGCCCTTCAGTGCTACCTATTAGTGCCTATCAGTGCCATCAATCAGTGCCCATCAATGCTGCCTATCAGTGCCCATCAGTGCCACATATCAGTTCAGCATCATCAGTGCCTCCTCATCAATGCCCACCAGTGTTGCCTCATCGGTGCAGCCTATAAGTGCCCATCAGTGCTCCCTATCAGTGCTGCCTCATCAGTGCCCATCAATGCTGCCTATCAGTTCCCACCAGTGTCGCCTCATCAGTTACGCCTCATCAGTGCTTCCTATCAGTGCCCACCAGTGTCGCCTCATCAGTGCTGCGTATCAGTGCCTACCAGTGTCGCCTCATCAGTGCTGCCTATCAGTGCCCACCAGTGTCACCTCATCAGTGCCCATCAGTGCTGCCTATCAGTGCCCACCAGTGTCACCTCATCGTTGCCTATCAGTGCCCACCAGTATCACCTCATCACTGCCGCCTTATCAATGCTGCCTATCAGTGCCCATCAGTGCTGCATATCAGTTCAGCATCATCAGTGC